CAAGCCTGAAAACAAAATCTTAATACCACGCTGAAGCGTTTGGTAATAAATTATACAGAGTAATTTGCTTAATTATTAGTAACATAAGTAAATACTACCAAGAATAAGTTGAAATTATTGATAATAATGATACTCATTTTAAAAATACAAAGTTTTTATGAAAGGGCAAAGGTGACTGATAACAAGCTTGGAAGTTAGGTTACGTTTCCATTGTATTGTTTTGTCAAATGCTTCAAACATAGTATGACAGATGATACAACCTTAATTATTGACCTCACGTGACCTCGCCAGGCATAGTCTATCTTGTTTGACTCATTGTTACTTCATTGCTATGTCATTCCACATTAAAGACATGGCACACGTATTTATAGCTTGATGAATTTCATATAGGTCACCAAAACTTCAATCTATAGCGCAGTTCATTAAAATATGGATTACTGTGGCTGTTTGTTTTATCATTTAACAAGTGGATCTAGTTCTATAGCCATTTGATAATTAGCCTGTTGTTTTGCAACTTGATCAACGACTGTTATAATTTGTCCACGAATTGATCCCTTTTAACATCCCAGTGAAATTCATTAAATAATTGTAACCCTAACCATTCTGCTTCACGTTCTTGTTTTTCTACACAGAGGCTTCTGGCAAACGATGAGGAGAAATCACAAGGCATTATCCGTGAGATCACAATACTTGTATCCTTTTATTTAAAACCCTGTCATGACACGGCATGAAAGCTTATTTAACAGGATTTGTGTAGATTATTGCCAAAAATGACAAATTTATTCTATGTAGTACATAACCAGTATTTTATAATATTAACATATTGGTAATGACATATCTCTGGCATCTTTACAGATGTTTATTGTATTGCCTTGAAACTATAAATACCCCTATCTTTAAAATTGTTGCCAGACTTAACTTTCTCTTTCCTTTTCATAATATTTTTCTTAATTTCCGTTGAACAGAAAAAACTCTCTCCCCATGCCAACATAATTCATTTCTATCAAGCTGCATCCATCGGTAAAGAGGATTCGGATCACGGCCAATCAGAATTTTTAATACTAACTGAATTATGTAGTGGTAAGTGCAGATGAATTGGTGATTAGTGTTTAACCTTGTTGTTTCTTTTTCAATTTGTATTGTAATTCATAAATATATTTTTGTGTTTTTCAAAAAACTTTATAATCTGTAGTTTTGGAACAAATTTAAAGCGCTGCAGTCGTCGCACCACGTCCTGTTCGATATGGGACTCGTGTTGAAGTATATACCGCACGTAAATACATTGTTTACACGTAATTCGAACGCATGCTGCTCGATGACTGTAGCACTTCAACATAGAATATGGAGGAAATTTTAGAAAATTTTTGAAATTTGTTTGAATTCAATTTGAAAAATGTATAAATGTTAAAATTTCAGATCAACATCCTAAAATCATGTTTTCTATTTTTCTATTCTAATATTTATCATATATTGTATGGTTTGATCATGTATTATTATTATATTGGATTTATATTGAGGCCCAGCTTTTTTTGCAAAATTTTAGGAGATTACCGTTTCTGATTAAGTTGTACATTTCTAGTGTATGTAATTCAATACACAAGACATAATTTTCCAAATGTGATTTGCCCCGGGATTTCTATACTACGGTATCTTTAATTCCCTTTGTACATGGACTTAAGTGCATGCTATTTTGCTATTTTCTTGTTGCATTTTAAACTCCCCTGTTTGCAGATCATAAAAATGAGCCAAATTTTTATCATCTGTCAATCAATCAATTTGTTAATTAGTATGTCAATCCGTCCATCCGTCTGCTTGTCTGAATGTGTGTGTCTGTCTGCAGAAATCCTATTCAACTGATACCTCAGGATACATTGATAAATATATCTCAAATAAAATCTGCATTTGCATCTTGTGTATAAATTTGATATCGTGTGATCTATTCCAGGTGGATTGGTAGATGCCTTAAATCGGAAACAGAATCCATTGAGTTGTGAACAGGTGTTAACAATCTTTTATCAGACGTGTAAAGCTGTACAGCATATGCACCGTCAGAGGCCGCCAGTCATACATAGAGATTTAAAGGTATGGTTTAAGTTATAGACTGTTTCAGAAGGTTTCTGTCCTGTACAAAATCGTATTACCATAAAACCCAGAAATACTAGTACAGAAACACAAGACTGTAGTAAGAAATTCATAACACATAATGAACAATCAGTATTGGTTCTAATGTTAATCTATATTTTAACTATCAAAACATGTGTATCCTTGTTAGGGTTACATAATACAGGACAGATCAAAAAGGTGTATGGTACAGATTGATGTCACAATACTGTACAAAATTTTTTTTCATTGTACACTTTATTTCAATTTCAGCACTATCAAATTACTTATAGCCTGAAGCTCATATTAAGAAAAGACTTTCTCAGTAATTACTCGCTTCTGTTGACGATATACTAAAAGAAAATATTATTATATTATATTGTATAAAAATACTGTAATCAGCGACTGATGTAAATTGCTTTGAAAATTGCGTAGTTTTGTACAGGTAGCAGTGAAAATGACACGATTTACAGTATGTTCAATTTCTCTAATTCATGCTGTATATTTCTTCAACAGTTGGAAAATCTATTGATAAGTGATAAAGGAAGTATCAAATTATGTGATTTTGGTAGCGCTACGACTAAAACCTACTATCCCGATGAGACGTGGAGTTCTATTAAAAGAAGTCTTGTTGAAGATGAGGTAAGGGTCTTGATTGATTGTATTGTGGACATTGTAAATTGCGCCCTCTACAAGTACTGTATGTCCATTCTAAACCGCTTTCTACAGGTATTATGTAGGTTTTTCGCAAGAGAAGAATAGCCATTTTAAATTTCGAATCCATTTTGGTTTGGCAGCATGTATTTGTCTACTATAGACTGCATTACGAATCACAACACTGATGTTATTGCATCAATTTAAATCTATTGTTAGTTTTCCGTGTTTTAGTGTAGGTTGACCTGCAGTCTTCTTGCCTGCATCTTGACACATTTGTTTATTCATGCACTAAATTAACTGCAAGTGATGTACATTTTTCATGTACAGACAATGATGAACCCTAAGTCGTACTTTGGTTCTCTCTAGTTTTTAGTCTCCAACAATGCCTGTTAACTTGTGATATATTTTATATCTCCACCGGGATGTATTTGATATCTCCACAGAGATATGTTTGCCATCTCTACTGTGACGTATTTGATATCTCCACAGAGATATGTTTGCCATCTCTACTGTAATGTATTTGATATCTCCACAGAGATATGTTTGGTATCTCTACTGTGATATATTTGATATCTCCACAGAGATATGTTTGGTATCTCTACTGTGATATATTTGATATCTCCACAGAGATATGTTTGCCATCTCTACTGTGATGTATTTGATATCTCCACAGAGATATGTTTGGTATCTCTACTGTGATATATTTGATATCTCCACAGTGATATGTTTGGTATCTCTACTGTGATATATTTGATATCTCCACAGAGATATGTTTGGTATCTCTACTGTGATATATTTGATATCTCCACAGAGATATGTTTGGTATCTCTACTGTGATATATTTGATATCTCCACAGAGATATGTTTGGTATCTCTACTGTGATATATTTGATATCTCCACAGAGATATGTTTGGTATCTCTACTGTGATATATTTGATATCTCCACAGAGATATGTTTGGTATCTCTACTGTGATATATTTGATATCTCCACAGAGATATGTTTAATATCTCTACTGTGATATATTTGATATCTCCACAGAGATATGTTGGGTATCTCTACTGTGATATATTTGATATCTCCACAGAGATATGTTTGGTATCTCCACAGAGATATGTTTGGTATCTCTACTGTGATATATTTGATATCTCCACAGAGATACGTTTGGTATCTCTACTGTGATATATTTGATATCTTCACAGATATGTTTGGTATCTCTACTGTGTTATATTTAATATCTCCACAGTGATGTATTTGATATCTCCATGGTGATATTTGATATCTCCACAGTAATATATTTGATATCTCTACAGCGTTATATTTCATATCTACAGTAATATATTTGATATTTCACAGATTGCCAGTCAGACTACTCCAATGTACAGAACTCCAGAGATGTTAGATTTATATTTCAATTACCCCATTAATGAGAAATCGGATATTTGGGTAAGCTTTTTTCATATCAAGGATTGTAGAGACTACAGGTTGTCATACTTAATAACCTTCATCTGATTGTCTTTGAATTGAGTTCTGGGATTTTCATGTGTACATCAACTGGAGCACTAACACCATCAGAATTATTGCTTGTTTTCGTGATTTATGTTGAAATCCTATATCTTCACAATAAGAACGAGTAGAAAAAAAAATATGCAGGTGCAGTCTATAGATTTGTACTGTAAATCATCAAATTGTCACGATATGATAATTTGCTGGCTTTTGTGAGGACAATTGCCCAAGTGACTTACTCGCTCCCGGTCCTAGTGAACTGCTTTCATAGTTCCTAAATATCTATCGTGATAACTTTTTACGGGAAAAAAAAATACAAGGTGTGCATTCTAACTTATTCGTATTTATGATCTGCTCTACAGGCCTTAGGGTGTGTACTCTATATGTTGTGTTATAAACAACATCCGTTTGAAGATTCCGCAAAGCTTCGTATAATCAACGGCAATTATAGCATTCCAGACGATCCCATGTATACAGTGTTCCATGAATTAATGCGTAAGTACTCGCATCTCATTGTGTACGATTTACTGTGTACATGTTGTTTAAGATTGGTCGGTTTACGAAGATGTTTATTCATGTTTATTTATACTGTCAATGCATTAATTTTTTGCAGGTTTTTAATTTTACTATTTTTGCTGATAAGTAAAATTTGCTATATTAAATTCCCATGAACATGTAAAATAAAATTATAACTCATTGTTTCCGTGCTCTAAACTCAGTAAAATCACCCAGAAAATCAAAATAGTAAAATTAAATGCCAGTGAAAAAATAAATGGTTTTACAGTATTCAAGTCTATGTCGAAATGACTGGCAATTGTGTTAGATTGTAATATAATGCATGTGAGAGTTGTTACGAAACCAAAACAGGAGAATTTATCTTTTCATCAGGTTCCACATTTCAAATTGATCCTCGCGAGCGGCCCTCGGTGAGTGACATCATCTCTCGGCTACAGGAGATAGCGGCTGCACGGAACATGAATCTAAAAGTGTTTACGAAACTTAAAGACAGCGAAAGCAGTGACAATGAAAACATTACTAGCAGTCCAAGAAGGCAACCCCCACCGCCAAGACCAGAACAGCCTGGTAAGACATCGTCTGTTATCGATTCACAAAATCAGGTCAGAATTGAAATACTCATCCAGGGATCTCATTTATTGATCTTCTTCGATAAGTCATTAAAGTTGCATCCCACTTTGTATGCTCAAAATCTTGCACTGATTATTGTGATCACCATAAGAAATGATTAAATCAGTTGCTGTGGCAACTAATCTTAAAATATTGGAGCAAAAGGTCATTGTTTCTAATCACAAACATAATTTCCATTGCTGTAATCACTCAATAAGTTTTCTAAATTTAATTTTTCAACATCTGTACGAAACCCAAAGCCTTGTTAATACTGTCAGGGGGTCAGTGAGAGAGGTTTTCTGCAGATCAGTGGAAATGTAATTTTAAACAATAAATTTACCATTGATTAGAATTGCATAACTATCTTTTGTATTTTCCTCGCAAAAATGCAATCAAGGTGTCATTGAAGTTTAAATCGGTTAAATATAGCAAAAATTGACATATAATATTGAAAATTAATACATCCAATAAGTACCAGGATTAGTGACCTATAGGGGTCATGTATATAGCCTATTATTGCACTGACATGGATTACATTACCACTGGATGGGTTTATTCTGAAATGACTGTTACGTCGTGTACTTACTTTCAGCTCGGCACTCACAGACGAGGAGCGAGACGAATTTAGATTATCCTGCGGCAGGAGGAAGTGGTCTCTTTGGAATAATGAAAGATGGTGCAGGATCGTTTTTTAGAAATATTAAAGACATGTCAAATAAAGTTTCGGAAACTGTTTCTAAGTAAGTAAATATTACTGAATTATTGGCAGTGTTTTCACATTGAGTTTGCTTGCTCTGAAGGTCATATCTGTTGAAATGTTACCTTTTTTGACAAGGTTGTCAGAAGGGCTTGAAAGTAACAGCAGCTTGTGGCACACACATGTAGGCTGCCATTTTCTTTTGTAAGGCTACCTATGTCATAGAGTAATAGTAGACCAAATATACATAGTTTGTTGATGTAGCAGTCTATATTAAAGCGAGGAAGTCGCCACTTGCGCATGCGTCAGATCGCCATAGCGTGTCATTGTTTAGAAACAAGCATCTACCCATAAGCCTTTGCATTATTAGTATGTGTTGTTATCATCGCTTGGGACTCAATTCCAGTTTAAACTTACAATTTTAAAACTGTGATCGTTTCTCGCTTACCATTCAAAATTTTTATTTTATATTTCATTGACAGTATGGCCCGTACTGATCTTGATCTTCACTACATCACCTCGAGAATCATTGTGATGTCGTACCCGGCGGAGGGCATTGAGGCCGCTTACAAAAACAACATTGACGAAGTACGCATGTTTCTTGACTCCAGACACAATCAGCATTATTATGTATTTAATTGTTGTCAGAGAAACTATAGAACACTTCGACTCAACAATAAGGTAAGCATATGTCCATATATGGGTGTAAGATTATTTTGTGTATAATTTCAAATCCATTTGACTTTTGGACAAGTTGTTTTCACTTTATTTCTGATTCCAATTTTGAAGGTGGATTTTCTGAACTTCTATGAGAACTCACATTATGTGTGAGGGGTGCAGACTGAAAGTTTGTAGCAAAAATTGTATGATTTGATTTTGAACTTGAATTCTTTATAGTTCAATGCCAAAATACCGATTTTTCAGAAGTGAATATGGCAATTGGATTTTACTTCTTCCAAATTGACTGTCGTCAAATGTGTATAACACATTATTAAATATGAAATTATGCTGGAAATACTGTCACATTGTCAAATCTCATTTGATGTTTTGATGCCACTATTGCTCAGTTACCTTTGTTCTTGAGAAGTTTGGAAAATTATTTATTATTACTTTATTCTTGATTTCACGGAGAAAAGAGGCAGGGAGTCTCATCATACAAGTTGACATTAACCTCAAACATTTAAAATTCTTAATGAGGAAAAATGCACACAGTTTTCAGTGGCTTGTTTAGTTTCTTGAATCAAAACATTTTTCTGAGAAACTTGGTGATGTATCTGAACTAATCAAGTGAAATGAAACTAATGTAGTTGCAGTGTAATCAAAGTTTATTTATGTATGCGTACACACACACTACACATGTAGCTCTAAAATTGTCTCTATGTATGTGTAATAGGTATCAGAATACAGTTGGCCCGCCAAAAAGGCACCTGATCTGAGAACACTTTACCTGGCATGTCGTAATATGTACTTGTGGCTTCAGAAGGATCCAAAGAATGTTTCAGTCGTACACTGTTTGGTAAGTACTGAATTCTCTATCATGTGTTTACAAGTATTCATTTCTATAGTTAAAAGTCCTACAAATCGCTAAATGTATTACCCATAATCCCTCCAATGTATATAACCTCTCTATCATTTTCTTATACCATGCATTCTTGCATCCCTCCTGCAACAGCATTGCGCATCGTTGGCTCGTTGACTCTCCTGTAAAGCTGATTAAACTTAACAGAGAATGGCTGCTCGACTGCCATTAAAATCTGTGAAATGAGTGTAAAGTCTTTGAAAACAGGAGTGGCATTGACTTGTGTAGCTCTAAGGAGAACCTTTCACTTTAATAACACAATATCTGATTTATTCATCCAGGATGGCAAGGCATCTTCAGCAACGTTGATCGCTTCCTTTTTTGGTTTTTGTCGGCTGTTTAAATCTATAGAACCAAGTCTATACATGTTTAATGTTAGGAGAGGTCCTCCGGGTGTAACACCTTCACAGAAAAGGTTAGTTCAATCAGGTATCTCAAATTCACCCCCCAAAAAATTGTTTTCTTTTTCTTTTTTGATCGAAACATTAAAGCAAAAATGTATGTCGTGTAAATGGATAGTGTTTTTTTTTAAAGTTTGCTTGAACCTTATCAGTGAGTCACACAGAATTTTTGTTTTAACTGTAAATATTAATATTTCAGATACATGGAATATATTCACTCTATGTTATCTCCAGAAAATCCTGTCATACCTCATAGCAAACCCATAATGCTGAAAAGAATCATACTACAACCTGTACCAATATTTAATAGAAACAGGTAAGTGTCTTTAAGATTAATAAGGTTTATAGTGATATTCCTGTCGTTTTTCTATGAAAATCAAAGTCATAAGATTGCACTCCAATATTTTTTGATTGACTGATTTTTCATGGTGGATATTTTAGAAACAAATTAAGGTCTTTCACTCTTCCCTGACACCCAAATTAAAGTGACGCCTAAATAAGAGATTATACGGTAGTATGCGTTTATAGTTGATATATCTTTCTAAAGATGTAACTCTCATTGTTTTCTTGTTATAAAAGTTAAGTAAATGACACGTCTTGGAATGATGGTTTCATAAATTTACTACAAATTGTGTCATCAAATATTTAAATATTTTATATTTTCAGGAATGGTTGTCGGCCATTTTGTGAAGTATTCCATGGGGAGGATAGGATATTGTCTACATCACAGGAATATGACAAAATGAGGTAAGATTTAGACTTCCAAGGTTTTTTTCAAATTGTAACTTAACTAGCAAAAAAAGCAGAAAATTGAAAAGCACTAATAATGCTTGATAATTTGCTGAAAGTCAAAAAAAAACAAATAAAAACCTAAACTTTTGTAATTAAGTGTTTATCCCTACTTTGATGGCCATTGCAAAATTTTAAATAAATAAATATCTACACGTACACACTTTGTGGTCAGGACGTCACGATGCCACCTAGGCATGCTCCTGGCAGAACATTGTAGTTTATAAACAAGTGTATTTGCAAAAATTTGAGAATTACTTGGCTGAAGGACATTATGAATCATTGCCAAATTGTATAGGAAACTAACTTGGCTGAATTACTGCCAGACTGGAGAAGAGTTCACTGACCTTACTACTCGAACAAAGGATTGAAATAACTTTTGTCCCCACTCCTGCACTCCTCCTGGAGAAACCCCAGTGGAATTGGGAGCACATGTAGAGGCAGTCTTCCCTTGGTGATCGAGGTGTGAGCAGGTTGTGGTCATGGTCTCTCCCTGCAAGTTGTGAAGAGATTCGGGCCATGCTGCATGAAGACTGACCAAAGAGCTCTACTAGGCCGATAATAGTAGCCACTAATAGTGATGTGAACATGCCAAGCCACTAAATCTTGTGCTGAGTGAAAACAAGGAAATCATCAATTTCATCTTGATACCACCACAGGCTGACGACAGAGACCATGGCATTTGTTACACATTCACATTAGTGTAGGGAATTCCAAAGGCTGTAGTAGTATTGATTGTTATTGTTGATTGTTTTGTTTGGAGATAATTATTTATTGTATATGGTGTTTTGCATAAGTATATTAAATCTATTAATTTTCTCAATACTGTGCTTTAATTACATGCGAGTGATGTTATACCCTGTATTTACTATATTAAGACAGTTATTCACAGTGAGATGAATTCCAATCCAGTTATTTATTGAGGTCCCATGTGGCCCTGTTTTTGACAGGTAAAAAAAAATCCACAATCATGGGTATTGAGTGGTGTCCTTCATGGACACGATTGTTCGTGCTGAATAACGTTCAATCTCGCGACATAGTCCCTGCGTTTGAATATTAAAATCCTCCCCAACATTTTGGCCATGGATTATATATACATTTTGTATATATATATATATATATATATATATATATCGATTCTCAATGCCAGCTCATACAATTTCATACGAGTTTGTTTGTTTTTGTGTTGTTTTTTTTCGTATGTCCGTTATTCCGAAAGAAGCTGAGTAGTCATTCAAAATCACTCAGGTTGACTCAGACAATGTCATCTAATTCTAAATTGCACATGCTGGTTGTCATGCGACATGTAAAGATTTTCAAATCAATGCTCTAGTAAACAAAAATAGACACTAATGTGTTGTCATCACATATAAATGTGACTGTAAATGTAGGGGACACTGTCACTTGTCACTCGTAAGTTTTAGATAATTAAAAAAATTGACATTGATATTTTGATTTCACTAATGCTTGACTTGCTCTTTTCTGTACAGGGGGTTTTCAGTTGAAAATACCAAGGCCTATGTAGATCTAGATGTATCTGTCAGTGGCGACATAATGATAGCTGTGTACCATGCGAGGTCTACATTTGGTGGCAAAATGCAAGGCAAGGTATGTATGAGATGGCCATCACACATGGCCCGATGTGATGGGTGTTAGTCTACATAGTGATCATAGACTTGATTTCCAGTCTGTATCCCGCTTCATGTTTTAGCTTTTGGTTTGTGTATACTGCTTTCAACGTACAGCATGTAAAAACGTTATATGTGATGGCCTACTCGTACATAAACACATTGACAACAGCTATGAAATAATATCTGACACTACTGGTATTCAAATCACACTACTATTACTCAATGTGTCACTTAATCCCCAATGCCTTGCTAGAAAACAAGATTAATTGTCTCTTCCACTCAAGTTTACCACTATTAACTACATACATGTATGTATCTTCTTCAATTCAGGTTACTGCCATTAAAATGTTCCAGTTTCAATTCCACACAGGTTTTATAGAATCTGGACAAACAAAAATTACCTTCAACAAGTGAGTTATATTATCATATGAAATATTATTCATGTTCATACTAATATTTATCTAGAATTTAAGGGCTAACTATGCCCTGTGTTACAGACGTATCTTTTAAGACAAGTGGGAATTCCACTCGTCTATCACTTGTCCAAATTATCACCATCCTAATGCATACTGTTTTGAAAAGATTTTAATAGCACAGCTCTTTTAATAACTTGCATTACTCAGAAGAGAATGTCTTTAATAGATGCCAGAAAATTTTTAAAAGGCAAGGTTTGTTGTTGGCCTATCACTAAATTTTAAAGGGAAGGCAAAGAAGTATTTTATAATTGGTGGGATTTATAATCCAATGCAAGTGTGAATTCTGTGAAGATGAAAGTTTACACCACCATTTAAAATCAATGAACATGTAATAATTAGAATGAAAATGTTATTTCAACCATTCTATTATGAAAATAAAAACATTGTTGTTCCTATTTGGACCTAATATATCACATTTTTTAACAAAATGGCTTCCTCAGTCATAGGTCAAATCTCAAGATATTTCTTGTAAAAGAAATTCCCCTAAAAATGTATTGCTCATTTTTAATTTTTATCATCCTGATCAATTAGCCACTGGCATTCAAATTGTGCTGGGTAAAACCATGATGGTAATGTATTGTCCTGGAGTCAACCAAGACCATTACACAAATACTTTTAACCATTAGGTTCCCATTGGTCATATTCATTCATGAATAAATCTCGCGCAGTGACCTTGGCCTTCCCATTGAGTATGTGGCACACTCACCCAGGATATGGATTCCCTGATGTCAATCAGGTATAATTTGAACCTGAGTCTACCCAATTAACCTGAGTCTACCCACTACCGGTGAATAGTTCATAATATTTGTTTTTGTGTTCAGATACGACTTGGATGCCACTGAGCAACCAGATAAGTATCCGGAGCTATTCCAGGTTATTGTGGAGCTGTGTGTCAGCGGCAAAGACAGGCCGCAAGATCAAACTCCTCCGTGGAAGAACTTTGAAACTAAACGACTGAATCCAAAACTGTGCTTCTCAGATGCTGAAGAACAAGACAAGGTTAACAGGGAATTTGGTAAGAAATGCAACTGTAGAACGTATAATAGACAGTTGCGTAGGCTCAGAGGAAATGGATATTCTCAGCTTTGATTTGTAACTTTCGCTTCTTACTCAAGACTTTATGTTGGGAATTCTGAGGAAGTGCACTTTATTTGCTCCATCAGAGACTAATCTCCAATTGAAATGTCTAGAAACAAAAAGCTGCCTTTATTTGCTTGATTATTATGTTGCACATGGATAGATGCACCGCTTTCATATATTTCATATACAAAAGCTCTTGCAACTTTATTTCAATTATATTTAATCTAGTTATTATATCGCTAATCCAGTTTTTGTTTGCTGTAAAATACTTTGTTTTAGCTGGAATTAATTTTCGCTGGAAAGACTTTTTGGGTGTTTTGTATGGAATTTATTTTCACTGATTTTTGACGAGTTGAATGTAAAATATAGGAAAAAAGGTATATAGACTGCATTTTATTTTCACTGAATCATTCATTCCTTCAGCGAAAATAGCGAAAATTATTTCCAAGCAAAAATAAAGTATTTTACAAGATCTACTAAATACTCGATGTTTTTCAATTGCAGACCATGCTGATAAACCATTACGAAGTTCAAATACTCTTGATCAGTCTAGTGCTGTCGGTCAATCCAGTGATCCGGAAGATGATCGCAGTGCCATACAGAATGATACGGTATCGCCATCGATGCCAGACGAGACAAACGATAAACATCCACCTGATTTCATGTCTAGTTTGAATTGGCAAGATGCAGAAAAACAGAACGAGGATGTATTAAAATCTACGAGGCTCAGTAGCGATGACTTTGATGACGCGTTTGCCGCCCTCACTACTGAACGTGCCAAAGTTGCTGCACCTAACAATGATGTATTCCAGAGTGTTCCAGGATTGGCTGAAACCAAACCGACCCCCGGCGATGAAAATATTAACTTCTTCAATGCAGATTTTGGAGAGAGTAACAATCCAGACTTCTTTGATGCTAAGTTTTCTCCACAGCATTCCAGTAAATCTGCATCACCACCCAATGTGGACTTACTCAATATGGGCTCAGACCTGCCTGAGTCACTACACAGCAGTCGCGATAATTCTAGAACGGCAAGTCGGAGAGGGAGCCAAGATTTTAATTTGATGGATTCTGGGGGTCCTGAATTAACTAATTTTGATTTGTTGTCCAATCCCACTTGTCCTAGTCAGCCGACGTCAGCTCCTGGCAGTGCCAGTGGAAGTCGTAGTCAAACTCCTCAAGTCGAGGTGCAGCAGACTAATTTATTCAGTGAATCGTTTGATCCATTTAAAAAACCACCGTCACCTCCACCGCCGGAGTCTAATAGTTTTGATCCATTTCAGTCCCATTCAAAACCAACTGCATTACCAAGCCAACAACAACCAAAAGAGGCAAGTCCAAGTATACCAAAAGAAGAAAGCTTTGACCCGTTTGCTGGGACATCAACAACCCCTTCAAGTTCAACAAGATCAAATGATCCCTTTGTCAATCTCTTGTCTTCAAATCAGGCTCCCAAAACAAGTAGTGGGGTGGATTTGATGGGTGATTGGAATTTTGGTAGTAAAGTAAATAAAACACATTTGACGCCTGACATGCATCGTACCTCCAGCGCCAATACATTGAATACCATGGCTGCACAGAAACCTATGGACAGGACTCCCAGCGAGTCTGTGCTATATACTACACCGAGTCAGCTGGATGAGAAACCAAACAAGCCCTATGATCCGTTTGCTGATCTAGGTAAGGTGTCCATTACTCAGCATTTTGAAATTAAAGTAAAAATTGAAATCTGTGAAATTAAACACTGATGCAGATTTCACGATTTTTTTTTTCCAGACTAACAATTATAAAAAAAAAAAAACTTGTGTACATATTACAAGTGAGATGTATTAAATATAACTTTTTACAGTCCACTCCAAAGCCTAGATGCTCCATCCCAATACTTTGGGGGTTCTGTAAAATAGTTGCTTTCATAATTGCATTTATTTGCTCTTGAAATTAGGTGCCTAATTAAAACCCTGTGTATGTATAAAGTGAAATATGATCCAGTAGTGTTTCAATAATATGTCTTTATGTAGGTAATTTGAAGAGTGGACTACCTTCCTTTGGTAGTAGTGCAAAGAAACAGCAAGGGTTCGCTACACCGACATCACGTCAACAACAACAACAACAACAACAACAACAACAACAGCAGCAGCAGCAATCAAGACCCCAACAGCAAAAAACGCCACAGGGTCGTCCAAACTACAGCCTTGGTGGATTTAGCAGTAGCACTCCCAGTAGCGGTGGTAGTGTGTTTGGAAATAAGTCTAATGGAAAGGGGTGGAAACCAGGTAGGTTGGATAATTCATCGGTTGAGAGAAAATGAGAAGGGGGATACTGGCCTGTTTGCCTGCGTTACCTGTTAATTCCATACAATATAACGCATAATCATTAAATCAGGCCGATAGCAACTGCTGTTTTTTTGTTTGATTTGCTTCACTGTGTTGTGTGGAGGAAATTTCGTACGGCAGCTACATATCTGCAACAACTGTATTTACAGTGTGTTGTCAATTTCACCATCACAAAATTAACCTCAGATATGTTTAGTAGTATTACATTGAGCACCACACATTCATGTTGCGCATACATCAAGGAAACATTTTGGTTTAGTTGTGTGCAACATATTTTAGTTGGTGAGCCTATTGAAGACTAAATATGTTGTGTACCAATAGGCATGATATGAAAGTGCTCACACTAGACAGTCTGTTGTAGTCAACTTATTATATAGTGCATGTAATTCAGAACAATGGCTTATCTTGTAGAATGGTAAAATTCTGTGATTAGCACTCATTCATGCTATGTCATCATCTCATTTGTTAATATGGTTTCATGTTTGGATTTCACTTGCAGCTGGAACCCGACCAGGTAGTGAAAACACTGCATTTGAGGATTTATTGAGTCCAACTGGGTTCCAAGCATCAAGTAAAGCTGAAGCGGAGGCTCACAGGAAAACTATGAAAGAACTCAGGAGGGAGCAAATGAGGAATGACACAGATCCCAACGTTGTCAAGGTACGCATGTCTTCTGGAAAGGTGGTTGACCATTATTTCTATGATTGAGGGTCTATGTTTGTTTTTTACTCTGCAAAATAAAGAATCAGCATTTTGTTTATGTATTCAAATTAAATTATTTTTGTTTGTTGATAGGTCAGAGAATGGGTGGAAGGGAAAGGAAACAATATCCGTGCATTACTATCATCATTAGATTCAGTGCTATGGGACGAGAATCAAAGATGGAAAC